ATGTAGAATATCATAGCCTACCCAAGGTAATCTTCTACCAGATAAAAATGCTAGTAAATACTTTGTTCAACAAATAAGTTTAATTATCTCTTACTTATCAAACACTGTGCTAGAAATGAAGAGATGACAGACAATAAAACTAGTCCTCCTCTGCCTTTATGTAGCATTCAGCTGTCAATCATTCTGATCTGCAATACTCAGTATTCACTAGGAAATCTGAGGTGCTGTTAATGAAAGGTGGGCAAAACATGGCCCACATTGCAGAAGAGAGCATCCCTGTCTCTATAAAACATAAAACCAAAATTAAAAATAAAATTTTCATAATCATTTGGTTATATATAACTGCTGTCGCATTAGACCATCAGAGCTGAGAAGCTGTAATATGTAAGCCTACAAAGCTTTAAATATTGACTCTGGCTTTAAAAATGGTATATTTATATTAAAAGACATATGTTAATATGCTGCAACACACACACACACCTAGAAGCCCTAGTTAAAACCATATCATGAAGAGCGCTGGCAACCTACAAGATCATATTTCTGCTGGTGTCATTTTACTTTCATTTATACTTCCATTGCTAAAACAGGTAACAAAAAAGAATCACATGGATAATATTATCTACTAAAGGCTTTACTCCCTTCAAGTGACGATAACTTTGTCTCAATATTCACCATCTTCTACAACATGGAAGAGCCTCTTTTAAGAGAAGATCCTTATTAAGAAAAGATTCTGAATCACACCAAACCAAATTTGTCAGAGGTGACTTGAGGCTATCTTTTAAATTGAACAATGTAACTGATTGTAAAAGCATTTAGCAAACACTCAGTGCTCTAATGCCAAATCATAGTATCAACAGTAACTTAGCTTCTTTGCAAGATGGGTGCTTATTCCCCCATCACTTGACTCAAAAAGCATTAAAATTTAAAACAGGAAAGGGAAAAAAAGAGATTCTTTCACTAGTTGTTGCCAAAACTTCCTAATAAGAAGTGACAGGCACTGCACTTGCTGTGCTCTCCCCAAAGGATGTTAAAAGACTTAGTCTGTGGTGGCTGTGGTAGATCATCGCTGATCATTCCCCAAACCTTTCATTTCCCCTAATGGGAATAACTGTACCATGAATAAAATTAAATGGCAGCTGAGTTCGCATTCCATCACCATGAAGCAACAATACTAGATTTGAGGAAGAGCTTCACAAAGTGTTGGTTATTTAAAGTCTTCCCAACCCATCCTACCAGCCCAATGGGAAAATACATTGCAAATGCCCAAGAGGGGATACTGAGGTAAGACCCAGGAAGAAGTTGATGGTAAGTGAAGACATGTCACATGGGAGAGGTATAGCTGACCACATTAACAAGGATCTAAGTTTACTCCATGCTTGAAATCATTTTCCTTGATACTCACAGGACATGTTACTTCCCTCTCATGAAGGTGGTCCTAAACTACCTTATTTCCTATCAAGTATCAGAACTGCTCCTGGATCATTTTGTCTAATTAGTTGTTTGATATGTAAATCCCTCTGTAGTGACTAGAGCATAACTAATAGAGGATAGTTACTGAAGACTATAGGTGATTAATACACCAACTGAACAGACAAAAAAAAGCTAGATCCATAGTCACTAAGCTGGAACATAAGAAAATGTAATTATTTAGTGATATGTGCCTCAAAACTAACAGCCAGTATCTTTCTGTCTTTATATAACATAAGCAATGTTCCAAAACTTTGCAGCAATTGCATAGCAAATCCTTATGTCTTCTCCACTAACCATTTTCCCTCTTTAGTTCTTTCCATCTCATCCTCTGCCTGTGGACTCCAGTTCTTTGGATATGACCCAGCAGAGGGTATAATTTAGTGATAGAGCACTTGCCTAATGAGCTCAAGGAATCTGGCTCCATTCCTAACACAAAAAACAAAAACTAATGATAAACTCAAAAACAACATTTCTGCCTTCCCTTTCATCCCTCCAATCCCTCACATATACCCCTCCCCACTTTCCTTCAAATTTAGGGACCCTTTTTTCCACTAATTGTTATGGTATGCACCAATGTACATACATATATATTCCTAAATATGTAACTAGTTCAGTCCATGTGATGTTATTTTTATGTATGTTTTCAGAGCTAGCCATTTGGCCCTGGACAACCAATTGGTGTACTCTTCCCTGGGGAAGATCACCTTTCCCACTCCATAGTTGTCTATACTTCTTTATCTACAGTTGAGACCTCATGGGCTTTTCCCCATCTATTATGGCTTCTGCTTTTCAAACATCATGATCATCAGGTTTCTCTCACCAGTAACAAAGGAAAAAAATACCATCACACGTGAAACTCTGAAAGTGTAAGAGGAAAAATTATCAAAGGTACCTGAAGATATGTACATAGGCAAGTATTTAAAAGAACTGAAGTCATTCACGAAATAAGGTCAACAACATATAATTAGGACATAATGAAATTAATGTTTAGCATAGAAGAGTACAGTTAATAGAGTAAAGCAAGCCTACAGAAAGGATTAATATCAAGAATATATATAAAGAATACAAAAAGTTAAACAAGAAATCAAACAACTCAATCAATAAATAGGCTAATGAAAAAATAGACAATTCTCAAAAGATGAAATGCAAATAGTCTACAAACATGCCCTTACTAGCCATCCAAGAAATACAAATCAAAACATTATACAATCTGAGCAAGTTGAATTATATACATACACATATACATATGTATATATAACAACAATTAAAGGAGGCCATACATTTGAATAAAAACAAAGTGAAGGGTATATATGGGGGATGATGAAGAGAGGAAATTCTATAAAGTGGGGAAATAATGGAATTATATTGCAATCTCAAACAAGTTCTAAAAGATTTTTAAAAACTATGGTGAAACTCTATTTCTATCTACTATAGAATGATAATCACAAAAAAAAAAACCCAGAAAGTGCTGTTATGGACAAAAGGAGGTTTATACACTGTTGGTAGAATGTGAACTACTCCAGCCACTATGGAAGTCAAAGTGGAAGTTTCTCCAGAAACTAAATAGAAATCTTCTATATGTCCTAGTTATATCATTCCTGGGTATTTATTCAACTGGCTTACATCAAGCTATCACAAAAATGCATGCGCATGGGCGATACTGAAGTTCGGTTCACACTAACCAACTATGGGACCAATGAAGCCTTCACAACCGAGGAAGTGATAAGGAAAATGTGTTACATGTACACAGTGATGAGAGTCATGTCCTTTGCTGGAAAAACTGATACATCTGGACATGATCATTTTAAGGCAATTAAGTTACAAAAATATTTACAATTATTATTTTTTAAATATAGAAACTTGCCTCTGGATTTGTTAGTGATACCTCCCTGATCATATCCCAGTATCTAAAAACTTTCCCACCACTTCTTCAACTAATTAACGTATTTTACTTTGTTAACCCTTCAGCATTCTAACTCTCAACTCCTCCTAATCATTCTCCACAATACAGTCATTAAGTATGATAACCTCACTAATACTTGAAATGCTTTGAGTTAATTTAGCTGCCTATTAAATTGACCTCTGACTTTTGGCTTCAAGTGTCTTCATACAGCAGAAATTAACAAATACATGCCATACATATATCCTATGAAAGCTAAAATACACTAAGCTTCAAATTTCCTTTGATACCAAACCATCGTATACATTAATATTATGCAAATTTTAATAATGACCCCATGTTACTGATTTTAAGTATCTGATTTCAAATATTGATATGCCCATTGTCACTCAAAAAAATTTTAAAAAATACTCAAAGTCACAGATTTGTGCTCCTGGTCTTCATTCTCATATTTTACATCTAAATAGGTCATTTCTGTGATCCACTGACAAGCCTGAAAATCATCTGGCTGACACATGCTTATACGAAAACATTGTGTTCGATCTAAACCTCTTCCAAAAGCTGTAACAAAACAAAGTAAAAAATGGATGGTAACTCATGAATCTCATCACTGTAGTCACCAGATACACTGAAAATCTCATAATTTTAAGTAAGAAAAAAATAATATACAACAAAATATCAGGATGTATGTGAAGAAATTGATACAAACATTGCAATTGAAAATGGCCTGATATGTTTAGACTTGGTGGCTCACACTATAATCCCAGCATTTGAGAGTCTGAGGCATCTGGATTGTCCTGAGATTTGACAAAGGGGTGTCAGGCTGGCCTACAGAGTGAGGCCTGGCCTCAAAAATCCAAAATATTTGGAAAAATTCAGTTGATAAAGACTCCGAATTCTTCTCACAATATGTGTATTTTGTGACTATCAAAGTATCAATTTGTTGTCTACAGTTCCTGATAGAATTCAAATCCTAAATATATAACTGCAGACTATAAAGCTATTCAAGGCTTTACCTAACTCAATACAAATTACTTATTTTATGCTTCTTTGGACATTCCAAACTCACCAAACCCTCACTAGTTCCTTCTTGGGTAATGTGGACTCCAATCCTGGCCCAGTTCCTCAGATAGGGTACCTAACCCTCCATAACCTGGTTTTTCTCCAACAGGTGGGTCTTATCCACATGCTAGTCAGATCTTTGAGACATGAGACCCCAACTGCCCCACCGTGAACATCCTTATCACTTCCTGTAGTTCTCCCGGCTAGCCAATTCCCAAATCAAAGATCCAATCAACAAAAATGTCCTCTTCTCCAGGAAGCCTCAGAAACATTACTGAGGGTCAAGTCAAGCTTGCACACACTCAAAGGTGTAAAACACACACACCACAGAGCACACGCTTTGCCTGCCAAAGTTTCTGAAGTTGCAAATGCAATCTACTTAATCAGTTAAAGACCTGCTGGGCAGAGGGGATGGATCTCTTTGAGTTCGAGGCTTGCCTGGTCTACACCATGAGTTCCAGAACAGCCAAGATTGTTAGAGAGAAACTCTGTCCTAAAAAAAAAAAAAAAAAAACAAAAATGAAAAATAAAAGAAGAAAGACCTAACCCCGTGGATGACGAGACCTACCTCCTACAAGGGCGCGATACAGAACCCCAAGCCACAGCACCAAGAGAGCATGCGTTTCCTGAGGGGACCAGAGGCCTGAGAGAACAGGGCAGGCTGGCGCTTCACAAATCTAGGGCTCCTGAGCAGGAAGGACGCCCTCAGGCGGCGGGGGAAGCGCGGGACCAGTGCTCCGAGCCATGCAAGCGGATGCGACGGCTGCCCGCAGGTAGGCGCCAGAGCCCAGAGCCACTCCGCCCCGCTCCTTTCTTCCCCTGTCAATCAACAGGGAGGCGGGCCGAGACCACAAGTCCCAGAAGCCCCTGCGCTAACCACCTCGGAAGGGCTCGGGCCAGCTCGGGCGAGCTCGGGTGGGCTCAGCTGAGGCTCGCAAAGGGTTTGGCGGGAACAGGCAGGAGTTTCCTGCATCCTGGCGCCTGCTGCGAGGTTCCACAATTGTCTACTTCCTCAAGCTAAGAGAGGCAGATGCCCTTGCTGGTTTCTAAAGAGAGCCCCACGGGGCCTGCTAGCCTAAAAGACTTGAGCCTTGAGTTAAAAATCTCTGGAAAGCTTATGTTCTGCTGACTCCTGTTCTACATGAGCACAGTCAGGAAAATGGATTGTCTGGTTTTGTTTGTTTGCTTGTTTCCAAAAGATGTTTTGAAAACTTTGCTTCCTGCAGGTGAATGTAATTATTCTACAGCTATGTTTCTCATTTGTCCACCTGTCATGGTATTTTAATGCGAATTTTTAATTTACTTTTGCCTCAAATACTGAAACCCCTCGTATATTACAATGCAAAATAGACTCTAAGCATCCTCAAGGCATTTCTGTAGTCGTTAGTAACAAAGAGCTTCATTGCTAATAGGTAGAAGTTTCGACAACTGTATAGTTTAAATTACCAAATATTATAACTAAGGGTCTGCCCAACTCATTCTCCTACATAGATGACCCAATTAAGACATACAGTTACATCCAGTCAGCTGTAAATGTCTTGGAGATGTTAAGCTTCGTTTTTCTATAATGTGCTCATTTAAGAAAGTCAATAATTTTGAATATAATGTAATTTGTTTAATATGGTTTTTCATTAATCTTGCAACAGTCATTTTCATGTAAACTAAAATTGAATTATCTTGAACTCCAGTTAATGAACAATAAATTAATGTTTTACTGTATTTGCTGCTCTTCTTTGAGAAATGGAAAATCTAATCATCTAAGTTCATTTCAGAGATAATCGAGAGTCAAGTAGGAGCTGTATGGAAAAGCTGCCTTGTGTTGCTGAATATATGCCACTCTATTTCAATTACACTCATGCATTTGTTGAGCAAATTGAACTGGTATGTGACAGACACTGGGTGAGGCCTGATTACAGCCCTATGCAAGACAGAGCACTCAGTCTAATAACTAAAACAAATGGGTAACAATTACCAAAAACAGCACAGTCACTGAAATTCTGCAGAAAAGTTCAGACTTGGTTTCAACAGAATCTTCCTCTTTGACATCTAAATTTAGAGACTCACTAACTAACTTCGATAACCTCAGCAGTTTTCTCTGAACATCTTCAGATGCAGTGGTTAGAGATATTTTAGAACTACATAGCTGAAAAACAATTCAAGAAAATTATGCAAGTTTTTGACTCACTCGTTACTAATGAAATACAAAATGGTCAATCAATACATGCTTATTGAATAAAGTAATGGGTTCCCCAGTCATGTTTTACCATTTAATTCTAAGCATTTTTTAGAGACTCCTGTTTTAATGTAACAGTCTGATAATGAGGCTGTGATTAACCCACTTTTCTAAAGGATTTGATCAATCGATCGATAGATACATAATAGATGACAGATAGATAGATGATAGATAGATGATTGATAAAAGTGAAATGACAAAGTTTATCAAAAGTGAAAAACATGTAGGCATACACACAGAAAGAGCAAACACACAGAGAAAGACATGCCATAAACTGGGAAGTGGACTTGGGAACCAGAATCTCATTTTCCCCCATAAAGCTGGGTAGCCTGAGATGGTTCCTCCTCCTCTCATTTCCTACTGGTCATCTTAGGAAAAGAAGGGGACGGTCATTGGACCAAAACTTATAGTATGCTCAGGGGCAGCCTTGAATGTATATGACCACCCTGAACAGGTCAAGCGGGAATGTTGCTGGCAGGAGAAAAAGCCTGCCAGGACTTTGTCAAGAATGTGATGAATGAAGCCGGGTGTTGGTGGCACACGCCTTTAATTCCAGCACTCGGGAGTTCGAGGCCAGCCTGATCTACAGAGTGAGTTCCAGGACAGCCTCCAAAGCCACAGAGAAACCTTGTCTCGAAAAACCAAAAAAAAAAAAAAAAAAAAAAAAAAAAAGAATGTGATGAATGAGCTGGAAAGTTGTCATCTTATTAATGATGAGTAGCCCCACTTCCTTTTGGTCTGCCTACCAAGGACCTCCATATCCTGTTTCTCAGAATCTTTGTATAAATTTCTAGTATCCAAATAAAATCAAATGAAGATAGTTTTACAGAAGGGGATAGCCTTAGGTGATGAGACTACTACCTTATTAGTTATTTAAACCAAATGTAAGTGTGTGTGTAAACTGAGTACAAAATCGCAATCAAGGGGCCAATGTGATGGCTCAACCAGTAAAGTTGTTTCCCTCTGAGCTGCCTCACAACCGGAGTTCAGGATTGGTTCAGAGTTGTACTCTGCCTCCATACATGTGATGTGGCACAAGTGTGAACATATATACACACAGAAATAACTAAAAGTATGTAGTCAATGAGCAAATTAACTATAAGATGGCTAGCTTAACCACAAACAACAGAATAACTGATAAAATATCAAGGGAAATGTGGATTGTTCTCTAAGGATGTTGCAAAGCTTTATGGGTTTTTTCCTTTTGTTTTGTTTTGGTTTGGTTTTGGTTTTTCAAGACACAGTTTCTCTGTATTGTTTTGGAGCCTGTCCTGGAACTTGCTCGGTAGACCAGACTGGTCTACAACTCACAGATATCAGCCTGCTTCTGCCTCCCGAGTGCTGGGATTACAGTTTTTGTAAAAGGGAAAAAACCTGTAGGCTGGGAATTCAGTGACTGAATTATAGAGCAGAGTGCAGTTGGCTAATATGTTTGAGATCAAGGGCTCAATTTATAGCACTGGAAACAAAGAAAGCAAAATAAAAATCAAACAGTTTGTAGTGTGTCACAATAAGCAATTATGAAAACAGTAACAAAGCTTATCTTTCACAAAGCAGAGGCTCACAAAGGAATTGGTGACTCTGTTTAATTCAATAGTTCAAGAAACTTTTATATAAATACTAAATATGGTAAGAAAGTTATTATTCTCAATGATTTTGCAGTCTAGTGTCATTTTTTACCAGCAAGCATCATCAATATCTTAGGGCTTCCTTTGCTGTGATGAAGCCCTGTGACTGAAAGAGACTTGAAGAGAAACTAATTTATTTTGCTTATACTTCTGTACCACAGTTCATCATCGAAAGAAGTAAGACAGGAACCCAAACAGGGCAGGAACCTGGAGGTCGGAGCTGATGCAGAGGCCATCAAGAGTGCTGCTTATTGATTTGCCCTAATGGCTTGCTCAGTTGGCTTTCTTATACATGTAAAGAGAAGCTTTTTCCTTGTTAGCCGCTTTGGTATATCACCCGCCAGTCACCTGGGCTCTGCCGCGTTGTAGTCCCCAAATAACACACAAGATGCTGTTGGCCTTGCTTGTTTCTTACTGGCTAGCTCTGACTTAAGTAATTACCCCATAATTGTTAATCTAAGTATTTCTCTTACCGGAGAATAGTTCCGGGCTTCCTACCCCATGGCGTTACATCTTGACTCTCCTGTGTTTCTCCTTCCCAGAGTCCTTCTGGACTCCTAGCCCCACCTATCTTAGTTCCCTATTGGCCCAACAGTGCTTTATTGACATATATATATAGGACTTTCCCCATCACTTATAAAACCCAGAACCACCAGCCCAGGGATGACCCCACCCACATCATCAATCACTTAGTAAGAAAATGTTCTACAGGCTTCCCTACTGCTCAGTTTCTGGAAGCATTTTCACAATTGTGGTTCCTCTTCTCAAGTGACCCCAGCTTATGTTAAGTTGGTATAAAACTAGCCAGTAAAGGTTTTAAAAAGCAAATACTAAACACACTTTCTATGTCCTGCAATCATGGACTGCTTGATGCAGTATTCCTGATAAAATTTTATGAGACAAATATTGTCTTTAATCTTCATTTTGTAATGAGGAAACTGACTCAAAATGTAGCCATCTAAGGACATTCAGCTTGCTGATAGTGAGGTTATAATATTAATCTTATTCTCTTTTCTCAAGGTCCATACACTAGACACATGCACTGTAGCACATCCAGGAAGAGCTAAGCATTCTCTAGTTACTGACCACTAACACAGCTTTCCAAGATTCCTGTTCAGGATTGCATTACCTTAGAATTGTCTTAATGATTGTACTTAAACAGATAACTCGACAATTCTTCATTTCCGTTTATCAATCTCTTGGCTAGGTTTCCATCTAATGACTTTCATGCATGCTTCATCTGGACAAGCCCTTAGCAGGCCTGAGTATGGCAAACATATCTCCATCTTTAACAGGTTTTGCCTTTCACTCTTCTCCCCTACTCTCTCTACTTTGCTCAACCATTAGATTGTACTCCTAAAGCAAGCCACCAAGATCTATTCTCGTATTTGGCAATTTTTTCCTCCAAGTTCCCACTATCAAAGTGCCCTCCAGGGCAAATATCCTTTACCCCTCATCCTTGTTCCTTTTCTCTTTTCTCTCATCCTGTACTTACAGTCTTTGTCTCTTATTCCTGTCCTTTGTCCCTCTGGGGCAAATAAATCTTTGTGCTGGGAACTTGGTCTTGGGTGTCTCTGTGGATTCCAGTTGTTTCAAGTCCTATGCTCATTAAATGTTTCTTTTCATAGGAACTTCAATAAGATGTTAAGATGCTTCAACTTGAAGGTTTTGTCTTGTATTTTGATTTTTGGGGGTAGAACTCTGGATTTGTGTGTGTGCATGTGTGCGTGGGTTAGATCATAACATGAAAGGGGGCCATGAGACCGGAAGAAATATATATATATATTTGATTTTTCAAGACAGGGTTTCCTCTGTGGATTTGGAGGCTGTCCTGGAACTAGCTCTTGTAGACCAGGCTGGTCTGGAACTCACAGAGATCCACCTGCCTCTGTCTCCCAAGTGCTGGGATTAAAGGCATGCCCCCCACAGA